GCTTTGTTGCCCAGGCTGGAATGCAGTGGCATGATCTCAGAATTCACCGTAACCTCTGCCTCCTATGTTCAAGCAATTCTCCTGCCTCAGCCTCCCGAGTAGCTGGGATTACAGGCCTATGCCACCACGCCCAGCTAATTTTTGTATTTTTAGTAAAGATGGGGTTTCACTTTGTTAGCCAGGCTGGTCTGGAACTCCTGACCTCAAGTGATCTGCCCACTTCGGCCTCCCAAAGTACTGGGATTACAGGCGTGTGCCCCTGTGCCCAGCCTACAACAAATATGCTATTTTTAAGGGGAGAGCTAATATTTTATTCCACATCCATCATTTATTAGTATGAATGACAGAAAGCAAGTGTGACTTTTCTCTTTGAAAAGTAGTAACAGGGTCAAGGTTGGAATCTAACATACTATTTAGCTGACTTTTTTTGTATGTTTCCTCTCAAATGACTGCTACATAGTGAAGAAAAAGATTATATGGCTTTTGTTAAAATCTGTGAGAGTCGGCTACCTTAAGACTTAAATAAATACTGAAGAGGTAAGAGTAACTTACCATTTTATGTAGCTACAGTATATTAAGTAGTTACGTAGAAAATGTGTGGATAACATACTTGATATTCTCCCAAATGTTACAGAAATTATCTAATGACTTTTGGGGAACTCTGGGTACAGATGTGACTTAGGGCAGATGAAGTATTTTATTTTATTTTATTTTGTTTTTTGAGAAGGAGTATCACCCTGTCGCCCAGGCTGGAGTGCAATGATGCGAATGTCGGCTTACTACAACCTCTACCTCCTGGGTTCAAGCAATTCTCTTGCCTCAGCCTCCTGAGTAGCTGGGATTACAGGCATCTGCCACCACGTCCATATAATTTTTTGTATCTTTAGTAGACACAGGGTTTCACCATGTTGGTCAGGCTGGTCTTGAACTCCTGACCTCATGATCCACCCACCCAGCCTACCAAATTACTGGGATTATGGGCGTGAGCCATCACGCTCAGCTTTTTTTTTCCTTTTACTTAATTTTATTTTCATATGTAAACATTCACATGGCTCAAAAGTCAAAACCATAGGGTTATCTTGCTTCCATCCTTATTTCTTCTACCCCACTCCTCCTACTTACCCTGTTTTTGTTTCCTTTTTTTTTTTTGAGATGGAGTCTTACTCTGTCACCCAGGCTAGAGTGCAGTGGCCTGTTCTCGGCTCACTGCAATCTCTGCCTCCTAGGCTCAAGCAATTTTCCCACCTCAGCCTTGCGAGTAGCTAAGACTATAGCTGTGTGCCACAATGCCCAGCTAATTTTTGTAATTTTTGTAGAGAGGAGGTTTTGCCATGTTGCTTAGGCCAGTCTTAAACTCCTGAGCTCAAGTGATCTGCCTGCCTCAGCCTCCCAAAGTGCTGGGATTACAGACATGGGCCAGTGACATAGTGAAACATGGTGAAACCCCGTCTCTACTAAAAATTCAAAAATAAGCTGGGCATGGTGGCACACCCCTGCAATCCTAGCTACTCAGGAGGCTGAGGCAGGAGAATCACTTGAACCCGGGAGGTGGAGGCTGCAGTGAGCCGAGACTGCACCATTGCACTCCAGCCTGGGCAACAGAGCACGTCTCCATCTCAAAAAAAAAAAAAACAGAGAGAAAAGAAAAATCAAATCCTAAAATGAGATAAAAACAGAAATAAATGAACCAAAATAGTTATGATGATGATAACATTAACTACACAGAAAAAGATTATTTCAGATGATCTTTGAGCGTAGTGCTCTGACTATGCATTCTTTTTTTTGAAATAGAATCTACTCTGTCACACAGGCTGGAGCGCAATGGTGTGATCTCGGCTCACTGCAACCTCTGCCTACCGGGCTCAAGCAATTCTCCTGCCTCAGCCTCCCGAGTAGGGGGGACTACAGGCATGTGGCACCACCCTTGGCTAATTTTTTGTATTTTTAGTAGAGACAGGGTTTCACTGTGTTGGCCAGGCTGGTCTCGAACTCCTGATCTCAAATGATCCTGTCTGCCTTGACATCCCAAAGTGCTAGGATTACAGGCATGAGCTACTGCACCCAGCCTGACTATGCATTCTTGGTAGAATATATTCTAAAGACAAAAATCGTAAACATTACTCAGTAGTTTACTATTAGTAATGTTAATATTATAATTTTGGAACTATTTTATATATAGTATATAATGAACCAAGTAAACATATTAAAGTGATTAGAAAATAAGATTTTTTATATTAGAGAGATGTAAATATAAAATGCAATAAGTTGAGAGGTGAAAAAAATTTCTGAAATGTTAAATTTGTATTGGTAGTAACAATATGAAGCTATGATTTCAAAACATGTATTTCCTGGCTATATCCACTCAAACAGTCTAGAAGTAACAGCACTAACAATAATAAACATACCTACTATCTAGATCTTGATTTTTGGATACACTCCCCTCTAAAATGAACCAGGCTGATTCTAAGTCCGAGGCAGGATAGTACAAAATGGGCCTGGGAATCTAACTATATCAGAAAGCATAGATGCACGCAAAGAACGATGGTATCATTTCAAAAAGACAAAAGGGGTGCCCTAAAAAGGCTACTATAGACCAAATCTGGGACTATTTGAACATAAAGAAGACTAGGAACTATAAATAAGTGAATTAAAACATGAATCCATGAGTCTATAATGAGGTTAATATGTGAAACTTGATATGAGTATAATGAAATCATACACTAGAGAAAGAATGCAAGAAAGTGTGGGCTAGGAGGTGAGAAGGTAGTAGGGAGGAAAGTTCTTCACAGAAGAATGCCAGTTTGTAAATGTGGAAGGAATGACAGAATTAGAAAATCACCATCTTGCAACCCCAAAGTAAAGAACTGATTCAGGCAAGGATCACCAATGGATGTTAAAACCATGGATGAGAGGCAACTGGGAACAGGATATATGTATCCTAGAAATTACTTAGTAATTGCAAAGGGAGAAATATACTTTTACAATGGAAATATTTCTGTGGTCACCATCTTCAGTAACTACTAAAACTAAGGCACACTAAAAGTGGAACAATCTAGCATTATATGCCTCCTGATAAGATGCAACATGACTATAACCGCACCTATATTTTCACTCAAAATGTGTAACCTGCATGGAATGGAACACGTAGATATAACTTTCAACATACAGAGGATAAAGGAAAAAGTTAAAGAGTACCATGAAGAACAATCAGAGGAATCCAAAATGTGGGACATTCTTCAAGACCAATGGTCCAGACTTTTCAAAAAGTCAATGTCATTAGAAAAAAAACAAGTTAGGAGACTGTTCCAAACTTAAAAAAATATAGCAACTAATTGCAATGTGTGAAACTTGTAAGGATCCTGGTTAAAAAAAAAAAATCACAATACCCAGGTACAGTGGCACGCCTGTAGTCCTAGTTACTCAGGAGGTTAAGGCAGGAGGATCACCTTGAGCCCAGGAGTTTAAGTTCAGCCTGAGTAACACAGGAAGACCCTGCCTCCAAAAATAGATAAATAAATAGCTATAAAAATACTTTTGGGCTGATTAGGGAAGCTGTTAAATGTACTAGAGATTAGATAATATTACACAATTATGGTTAATTTTCATAGGTAATGGTAATCTGCTTATATCGGAGAGTGCCCTAGGAGATGTATGTGAAAGATTTGGAAGGTAAAGTCTCATGGTGTGTGCTGTATCCTTCATAGTTCATTTAAAGAAATGTATACACATATATATATAGGAACCAAGCAAATGTAAGAAAATGTAAACAACCAACCTCAGGTGAAGCTTATAAAATTTTCATTGTGATATCCTTTCAATTTTCTGTATGTTTAAAAAAAAGGGAAAAGAAAAATACAGAGCAGATGGCTGTATTCAACTAAAAAGATATATGGTCCCCATACTGATTATACCATTGACCTTGAAATATTATCTGTGGAATTCTTTTTTCTTAAGATAAAACATAGGCAACAACATTAAATGAGCATTTTTTGAAAAGAAGTGACTTCTATTTAAAAGCAAACAAAACAGCTTGGTCAGGATAAGAGGGGCAACTTTGCCTGGGAGAGAGTTAAAGATTTCCCATTAGAGACTATAAAGTCCAATCCAGCCATGAAAAGAACAGATTTTTGGCTGGGTGGGGGCTCACACCTGTAATCTCAGCACTTTGGGAGGCTGAGGCGGGCGGATTGCTTGAGGTCAGGAGTTCCAGACCAGTCTGGCCAACATGGTGATACTCTGTCTCTACTAAAAATACAAAAAAAATTAGCCGGGCATTGTGGTGTTTGCCTATAATCCCAGCTGCTCTGGAGGCTGAGGCAGGAGAATTGCTTGAACCAGGGAGGTGGAGGTTGCACTTAGCCGAGATCTTGCCACTATACTCCAGCCTGGGCAACAGAGCGAGACTCCATCTCAAACAAACAAACAAACAAACAAAAAACACAGATTTTCCTGGAAGCTGAGGCTTCCCATCACAATACCCGTTGATGCGGAGTGAGTTTCCCATGCCTCCTGCTGAGGTTACCTCATCTGGTTGAGGAAGGATAATAACCAACATTGTTCCTGTGTGAATGCGCTGCATCCTTGAGGACAGGCCCACTTCAGGGATGCGCTGAACTCGGTGAATCCCACCCTCATACTTCAAATGCTTATAGACACTGTCACCAGAAATTCGGGCAGCTGCATGATGTAGTCCACCTAGGGGGACAACAATCCAGAAATATTAATGAATTCTCCTTTGAAACAGATCAGGATCCCAAATGACCTTAATCTAAGGCCTGAATATGAGCACAAAGCCTGAGATGAGAACATAAAGCATGGGAGAACAAGGACCTCTGAAGAAGAAGGGAAAACATAAAGTATGCACAAAAACTACAGTTTCCCAATGTAAATGTATTAAAATATAAAAGGAAACTTATTAACATTTAATTAATTAATTATAGGAGCTAGTGATGCAACAATAGGAAACATACCAAAATATTATTTGGCTGGAATTACAGATTTGCGCCCCCATGCCCAGATAATTTTTGTATTTTTAGTAGAGACAGCGTTTCACCATGTTGGCCAGGCTGGTAACAAACTCCTGACCTCAGGTGATCCACCTGCCTTGGTTTTCCAAAGTGCTGGGATTACAGGCATGGGCTATTGCACCCGGCTTATTTATTGAATATTTCTAAGCAGATGCTCACTATAACCTCAAACTTAATAATTCAAAAACCATTCCTTATTATTCTTCCCAAATGGCTTCTGCCTTCCAACTTCAATTCCATTTAATGGCATGAATGAGTATCACATTCTTCTCAGCTAGAAAGATTAGCATCCCTGTGGCTTATCTCCTTTGTGTCAGAATAGACTAATGGGATGTAGTGCAGCTCTGGATCAGACAGACTAAAATTTAATCCTATGATTGCCATTACTTATTGTGTGGTCTTGGATTAGTTACCTACTCTCTGAGCCTAGATTCTCATCTATAAAATGAGATTAGTAATACCTATCTCACAAGGGTGTGAAGTTGTGCCCACAAGACATACTGGATAAGCAACAGCCCCCTCACATCTACTTACTTAGTAAATTATGCCTGTTCACCCTGTGAAGGTCTCTGACATATAATCCTCCTCTGAATTCTAACTCTTAGTCATATCTGGATTAATCTAATAACCTCTTTGAAGTCTGCACTAAATCTAGCCTTTTCCACCCATCTATCACACTGCTGTCAAAATTGTATTAATAAGAACATGATTTAATAAAATAATATGTATTTTATTTAATAAAATATGTATTTAATAAAATACATATTATTTTATTAAATCATATTCTTATTATTACAATTTTCAACAGCTTCCTATTGCCCATCAATCAAAGCTTTTCAAAATATACCCATTCAAACCTACTTCAGAGATTACTTCCCTGACAAGCTATGGGTAAACTGGCCTCCCCACTGCCTTACCCACACACCAAGACCTTTCCCACCACCATGCTGCTGCTCAGGTTGTTCCTTCCCTCTGCTCTCACTGATAATCCCCTTTCCTGATCATGGGTTGTATCTGAAATCTGTAGCAAATACAACTTCCTTATGCGGTATGCTGGTTCTCATTTCCCTCTACTGCTCAACCTACATTATTCCTCTCTCCCCACTTTGAGAGTTTGTGGTTTATTACTGATGACTCCTCTGTCTACTATGATGTACCACTGTGTAACCAAGCAGAGGAAAACTTTCAGGTGGATTAAAAGAAAGGGGCAAATGAAAGAATTATTATCATATGTTTTGAATCAACATGCTTGAGTATTTAAAGGTAAAGAACTTGCACTGTTTGTCTATGCTGTATACATTTTTTTTTTTTTTTTTTGAGACAGTGTCAAACTGCTGCCCAGGCTGGAGTGCAGGGGCATGATCTTGGCACACTACAACCTTTGCCTCCCGAGTTCAAGTGATTTTCCTGCCTCAGCCTCCTGAGTAGCTGGGACTACAAGTATGTGCCACCATGCCTGGTTAATTTTTATACTTTTAGGAGAGACAGGGTTTCGCCATGTTGGCCAGGCTGGTCTTGAACTCCTGACCTCAGGTGATCCACCCACCTCAGCCTCCCAAAGTGCTGAGATTACAGGCATGAGCAACCGTGCTCAGCTGTCGTATACATTTTTATCAGCCCAAATAGAAGATTTTGAAAATAAAGACAAATGATTAACTTTTTCTGCATTCTCATAAAAATCAAATACATTAGCCACTTAGTCTAATTAGTAATACTTTCTTATTATATTTATTTTAAAAATAATAAAGTTATTTAAAGTAAAAACCTTAATATACCTTTGCATTCAATAACAGAGAAAAATGATTTTGAGGCAAGACAGGTATCTAAATTCCTCAGGGGAATTTTCTCTAATTCACATATTTCTTCCTAGACAAATGCTTCCTTCCTTCCCACTCTCTTCTTCCAGCTAACAACTCTACTATAATAGTAAGCTACTGTGACTCATGAGCCTATGCCACAGTGTTTAGTAGATACACACCAAAAGTTTCAAAAAAATGAGATAATATGGTTCTAGTCAACATCAGAGGTAAAATAATTTTTAGTATTTCCTATGGACAAAATCCTCAATATGCCTACCATAATCTGCTGGTGTATAATTCAGAAGTTCAAATTGCCAGTGCTTATAGCATGAATAATTCTGGTACATGTCAAATATTTCTCGGGTAAATTGTTGGCAGATGTCACCTAAAATAAAATACAAAAAATATTTAGTCAGAACAAATTTCTGAAACCCATCCTTAAGACTAAGTCCTTCAGGAAATAAAGAATCACTATTTCCAAATTTAAATACATTTAATGGACTTTTAAAGTCAGTATTATCAAATAAATGTAAAAGTCAAGGACTTTTTAGATCATTTAAATAATAAAACAAGTTTACTGACCTCCAGTAGTTCTTCCAGATGTCACCTCTAAAATAACATCATTTTTGTCGTATTTCTCCTTTGGCACAAGGCTCTGGTAAAGCTGGAATAAAAATCAGCATTTGTGTGTATATTTTCCCCGGTATACTATTATTACTTGAATTTAGATAAAAGCCCCCCAAAACATTGAAAAAAAAGCAGTAATTGGCAAAATCATATAGTATCCCAATGTGGGTATTCCAAAAATGTTATAATAAGTATAACTAATTAGGCCTAAAATAGGTGATCAATTCATGTTAACAATGGAGTTACTTGTTAGTCTACTTTCTGCACTGTTATCAGATTATCTTCATTTTCTAGAATGCAGAAGTTCAGATCAAAGTCCAGGGTGTTCCATTCAATTTTCTTCAGATTTTGGCTCTTATACTTAGTTCTGAACAGTAGCTTCTTTCATCTAATGAATGAAGTAAGGCTTTGAAAGTCTTCGCTTTGAGAAATGATTTCATATTATCTCCTGCTGTAACTGACAGCAGACACCGTGCCATGCTGTGCCTTCTCAGCAGAGTCGCTCTAATTAAAGACTATGTTGAAGACTCCCAAGATAAGGCTCAAATGGAGTTTCTCAGCTGTGACCAGAAAAAAAAGGGGCTTCCTAATAAAGAAAGGCAACAACTTTCCTCTTAGGAAGAAAAGGGAAGTAATTTCATTATTACTAAAAGGTTTTTCAAATCAAACTAAAAGTACCTACATGTCATGACTCTCCCTACTGCTGATTTCTGAAATACTCCGTCTCTGCTAGAAATGACATAGTCTATGGGAGATAATATCAGACTAAGAGTCAAACATCTTCTGCCCTTGATTAACTGGTTCACTTCGTAATAAAAATAACTGATATCCCACTTAACCTCCCCCTTAACTTTTCAAAAAGTCCGTCTCTTGGATTCCCAGAGCAAGACAGACTGAAGGTAGGAGGATGGCAAATATGACAGAGGGAGACACGGTATACAGTAGTGTGTTCTTCATTGTCTTTGTCATTGAGCAAGAAGGAAAACAGACCACTACTGAAGGGAAATCTTCCATTTCCATGTCTAGGAGATATCAGCTGGTGCTGATACAGTATCAAGAACCCTGAGAGGATCCGGTATGCGACACCCCTACTAGACCTAACTAAAGATGTGTGTTAACCAACTATCTCTACACCTTTGGATTCATTCCATTCTATCCAGCTTGCAAATTTCCAATCCTTAATTAACAGTCACCATGAACTCCTCCTCTTCTCACACTTAAAACCCTCTGACTCTTCCCTGTGGTGAACTAAATTTCTTTACCAGCATGTATTCTCTTGCTTAACAAGTTAATAGACTCAACTCTGAATTTTTTTTTTTTTTTTTTTGCCCTGGGAGTCTCTGTTTTTTAATTTGATATCATAATTTCTTCATTCTAATTCTGCAGTAAATTATAGAAAACCAGCTTGATCACATATCATAAGAGAACACTTAAAAGTGTTTGGAAAGCACCTTGAGCACCAAAGCAGAGTCTAACAAAAACAGTATTCCTTTATATAACAGTACTGAAATGAGCCTACCTCTGAAAACCTACCTCACTGTATAACATGTTGATTTTTTGAGCAATGGTTTGCCTTTCTTCCAGTGCAAGTTCTTGTAACTGCTTTTCATCTTGTTTACTTAGGCCTAAAAGCCAGCAACAGAAATAATGTTAACGTTTTTAAATCCTTACAGAGAAACTCCTAGGTAGCATGTTCCTCTTTGGCTACTAAGTTTTATTTCAGTTTTAAAGGCAAGGGATTATATACAAAGGAACATTTAGAATAGCTGGAGAATGTCAATTAACAAGTATTTGCAGAGCATTTCCAAAAACCTCAATGCGAAAAGCAGTATAATCATGCCCTCCAAAAGCTTGTGTTTATTTAAAAGGTAAAATAGCTTAAAGGATTTAATATCTAAACAAATCAATTTATTAAGAGAAGTGACAAAAATATGGTTTATATAGAAACCCACATTTACAAAGCTTATTATTTGAATGGCTATATAAATCAGTGACTAATCAAATAAGTTTAAAAAAGGACTAGCTAATTAAATATAAACCCAAATCTATTAATAGTAGTGACAAAAATATGCTTAATATAGAAACCCATATTTACAAAGCTCGTTATTTGAATGTCTATAATTATGTAAATTGGTGATTAATCAAACAGGTATAAAAAGGGATATAGCTAATTAAATATACACCCAAATAAGGTAAATTTTAGAGCAAACTGGAGTGAGCGCTTCTTGTCTAAAGGTGGCAGCTGTAACTCAGCACACTGTGACACGGTCCAGCACAGCTAGAACTTCCATATTATCCAAGAGAAGTCAGAAATCAGAATTCTTAAAATCTCTTGTACATACTCAGTTCACTTTTTTTTTTTTTAAGAGAGATGAGGACTCACTATGTTGCGCAGGCTGACGTGCAGTAGCTATTCACAGATGTGATCATGGCGCACTACAGCCTCAAACTCCTGGACTCAAGCGATCTTCCTGCTCCAGCTTCCCAAGTAGCTGAGATTACAGGCACATGCCACTGTGCCTAGCTTAGCACAGTATTTTAAAACACAGAGCATGGCCAGGTATGGTAGCCCATGCCTATAATCCCAGCACTTTGGGAGGCCAAGGCAGGTGGATCACTTGAGGTCAGAAGTTTGAGACCAGCCTGGCCAATGTGGTGAAACCCCATCTCTACTAAAACTATAAAAATTATACAGGCTTGGTGGTGCACGCCTGTACTCCCAGCTACTCAGGAGGCTGAGGCAGGAGAATCACCTGAACCCGGGAGGCAGAGGTTGCAATGAGCAAATATTGCACCACTGCACTCCAGCCTGGGTGACAGAGAAAGACTATCTCAAAAAACAAAATAAAATACATATCATGTGTGTCAGATAAAACATACATTTTTGTAACCTGTCCTTTGTGGGGAAAATGGGCCTTTTTTTAATTATCTCCAAAGCAGAAAGTTAAATCATGGAACTCTAGCAAAACAAGATAATGATGATCTAGTTATTGACCAAGGATGGTAGATCTCATGACCTTTGACTCCACTGCTTTAGAGGCCTTCGTCAGTGGCCATTGCTGCAAACTAAGGTAAAAAATTCTGACTCTTAACAATAATTATAAAGAAAATAGAAATGAAGAATCATAATAACAAAGAGAAGACTCTTTTATTCTCTAATCATGAAAGTCATTAGGGTCTGGTGGGATTCTGTGCTTCATTCAAGCTTTCAACATTTAACATTTTGCTAGACACTGCTAGTTGCTGGGGAGACAAGGAAGAACAAAACATGGCTTCAGGCCTCAAGTGGCCCAGTCTGGTGGCAAACACATATACATGATTACAATATGTGACAGGGCAGTGCCTGTGTGCCATGGGGGCATAAATGAAGGGGACTAAACCAGACTTCAGCACTTAAGGAGGGCTTCCTGGCTAAGGCATCGTCTGAACTAATTCTAATTATGGATCATCTGTTGTACAATTTTAATGTCACCACTGGTACCACATTGTGCACATATGTCACAAATGGAAACCAGGCTGACATTACTTAATAGATACCTGCTGGTTCAAAGGTATCAGAAAAACCTTCTGATTTGCAATCATATAAAATTATTTTTGTGGTCTCTTATTATTTGCTGTAAACCTGTAGAATCCTGTCTAATTCAATTTCATTATATCAACAAAGATTCGAGAACCTATTATACCCCATGTTTGGTGCTGAGATATAAAAATGAGTCAGACACAGGACCTGACCTTGAGGAAGAGACAATGGGGTTAGGGGCTTAGGCAAAGACAATTACATAAAGGATCATATATAAAACAGAGAAAAGCAATCATACTTGTTTTGCAATGGGTACTGAAGTCAAAGTATGACATCCAAGCCAAACTTTGTAAGAGGACTGACTTTTAACAAGGTGAAATGGGTATGTTAACAATGTGAGCAAAGATACAGACATGGGACAGCATCAAAATATCCAGAGAATGGCAAGTTGTCTATTTTGGTTAGAAGGCAGTATATGAAAAGAGAATTAACATAGTACACTGAGAGGCTGGGGTCACTCTGCAGGGCTTTTAAATGCCAAATCTAGAAACCTCTACTTATAGGCAATGGGACAGGTGAATAACATGAATAAGATTGCACTTAGACTGGGAAAGCCTAGAGGTCAGACTACCAGTCAGGGATTGACTATAATCAGGTAAGTCTGAGATGTAACGAAGATATAAATTAGTGGAAGGAACGAAGGGGACTCATGCAAGATACATCACAGAGGTAGACCCTACGGGACTCTGAATCATCCACCGAGCAGTGATAAGAGCAGAGGCTTTGGAATCTCATTGCTTAGGTTTAAATCCTTGCTCCTGCCCTCATTGGCTGAGTGACCTTTGCAAATTTAACCTTTCAGTCTCCTCATCTATAAAATCAGGGAAAATACAGGCTGGACAACGTAGTGAGACCTCGTCTCTACTAAAAATAAAAAAATACCTGGGAATGGTTGCACACACCTGTAGTCCCAGCTACTTAGGAAGCTGAGGTTCGAGGATTGCTGGATTCCAGGAGTTTGAGGTTAAAGTGTACTATGATTATGCCACTGCATTTAAAAAAAAAAAAAAAGAAAGAAACAAAGAGGCCAGACGCAGTAGCTCACACCTGATCCCAGCACTTCAGGAGGCTGAGGCGGGTGGATCATGAGGTCAGGAGTTTGAGACCAGCCTGGCCAATATGCTGAAACCCCATCTCCATTAAAAGTACAAAAATTAGCTGGACATGGTGGCGTGCACCTGTAGTACCAGCTGCTCGGGAGGCTGAGGCGGGAGAATCAATTGAACCTGGGAGGCAGAGGTTGCAGTGAGCCAAGATCACACCACTGCACTCCATTCTGGGCGACAGAGTGAGACTCTGTCTCAAAACAAAAACAAAACAACAACAACAAAACAAAGAAAGGGGGGGGGAATAATAATATATACTACTCATAAGGTTACCTAAGCATTCAAATGAGATATTTGTAAAGCACTGAGCTTAGTGCCTAGCACATAAGAGGACTTTGTAAATGTAGCTGTTATTATTATTATTATTATAGAAGAATTGTAGAGCTAGTAGAGCCTTTAGAAATGATGTAATCCCATCTATTAATGTTTTTCATGATTCAACCAAGACTGAAAGAAGTTATGCCAATTTAATTAGAATGCATTTAGTAAACTCCTACTGTGTACAAGCAATCTTCTCAAAACTAATAATTACAAATTTGTGTGGCATTAAACCTATGTAAGAGACTTGTGGTACCATCAGTAGAAGGTAGAAAAATGTCAGGCTTTAAACATTCAGGACTTTATAGGTATAACAGTGACTGGCCTGTACATCACATATTACCTCTAAGGCTTAATGAGACAAGATGGGGGACAGGAGAAAATCTAGAAACTAAAAGTTAATAGCAAAATCTGGATAAATGTTGAATCATAGGTTAGTTCATTGAACTTTTCTCTCAACTTCTGTATAAAAATTTTGGAAATTTTTCATAAGAGAAAACATGTTGAGGCAATAACAGTATTAAGAAATACTAAAGCCGGGCGTAGTGGCTCACACCTGTAATCCCAGCACTTTGGGAGGCCGAGGTGGGTGGATCATGAGTTGAGGAGTTCGAGACCAGCCTGACCAACATGGTGAAACCCCACGTGCACTAAAATTAGAAAAATTGGCTGGGTGTGGTGGAGCATGCCTGTAGTCCTGGCTACTTGGGAGGCTGGGGCAGCAGAATCCCTTGAACCCAAGAGGCAGAATTTGCAGTGAGCCAAGATCACACCATTGCACTCCAGTGTGGGCGACAGGGTGAGACTCTGTCTCAAAATAAAAATACTAAAATAAAAAACTAAGATGAAGCATAGCTCGTAGTCTCAGCTACTCAGGAGGCTGAGGCAGGAGGACTGTTTGAGCCCCAGAGTTTGAGTCCAACTTGGGCAACATAGTGAGGCCCCATCCCTTAAAAAAAAAAAGATAAAAAATAAACATGCCATATAAAAAAATAACTCAAATAGATCAAAGACCTAAATGCATGGGCTAAAAATAAAAAATATGTAACTCTTTTAAGAAAACACAGATGTAAATCTTTGTGACCTTAGATTAGGCGATTTTCTTAGATATGATTCTCAAAACTCAAACAATAAGAGAAAAAAAGATAAATTGGACATCATTAAAATTTAAAAATATCATGCTTCAAAGGACAGCATCAAAGATAAAGAGAAAAACCACAGAATGGGAAAGTTTTGCAAATCATATATCTGATTATGGACTTTTATCTAGAATATAAAGACCACTTACAGCTCAATAATAAGAAGACAATTCAATTAAAAACTGACAAAGGAACTGAGCAGTCATTTCCCCCAACATGATACACAAATGGCCAAAAAGCACTAGAAAAGATGCTCAACATCATTAATCTTCAGGAAAATGCAAATCAAAACCACAATAAGATACCACTTCACACCCATAGGATTGGTAAGCTCCTTAGGGCTTACCCCTTGCTTCCTACAACAATGCCTGGCTCTTAGTAAGCCTCCAGCAGATGCTGGCTGAATAAATGACTAAATTAATGACTGAGTTAACCTTACCAGATTCCTAGAAAAAAAAATCACTTTAATTAAACTACTACAAGAGATCTAGAAACAGTATTTAGATATTTCCACCTTGAAATCCTAGCATGGCAACCCACATATAAACATATTCAGATTTTAGAAGGTTCTAGATTTGAAAAATAGGTAGAACTGATTGTTTTCAACACCTGGTTGGTAGTGTGTAAACTTCTGGAGAATGGGGGTCTTGTCCGAGTGGAGATGCTTTGTTTGGTGCTTAAAGTAATAATAAAGACACTTAGGCTTATTATTTGATGATAATAACTATGAATAATTCTAGGATTCTAAGAAATCTGTTAGCTGTTTGTCCTGGCAAATATTTTCAGCCATTAAACATACAAATTCCAAGTAATCTAAAACTACAATTGGAGTAAACATTAAAGAATAAATTCAACATTTACAACATGAAATATAAAGCTTCTTAGGCTGGGCGTGGTGCTCATGCCTGTAATCCCAGCACTTTGGGGGGCCAAGGTGGATGGATCACCTGAGGTCAGGAGTTTGAGACCAGCATGGCCAACATGGTGAAACCCCGTCTCTACTAAAAATACAAAAATTAGCTGGGCGTGGTGGCATGCTCCTATAGTCCCGGTTACTCGGGAAGCTGAGGTAGGAGAATCGCTTGAACCCTGGAGGCAGAGGTTGCAGTGAGCCAAGATTGCACCACTGCACTCCAGCTTGGGTGAGACAGTGAGACTCTGCCTCAAAAAAAAAAAAAAGAAATATAAAGCTTCCTTCCTTCATGGCTCCACTAACGCGTGGTCTCCTCCAGGAAGCTTTCCTCTTTGCTCCCATGAAACCCTGTACCTTACTCTAGTAGAGCAGGTCTAACATTATAAACAATACTTAAATTTTAAGTTTCTCACGTTAGATCATAGAAGCCCGTTGATGGGGTAGGAACTGTATGTGTAGCCATAGCATGTAGCTACAGTGTTCAATAAAGGTTTGCTCAATAAAATAAAGTTTCTGAAAAGGCCAACATTTTGTCTCGCAGACTCTAAGACCATGGCAAGTACCACGAGGAGCCCAGTTACTTAGTATAGTTGGTCTTTAGTAGCTAAAGTATGTACAGAGTCCTGTTCTTTCCAATTGTTGAACTTATTACCTGTAGGTTTTATGAAAGACTGAGTTCAGGCCAGCCTCAGTGGCCCAGTGGCCATAATGACGTCGCCTTGGAAGGCCCTGGCACAGCAGTCCCAGCTACTCAGGATGCTGAGGTGGGAGGCCAGGACTTAGAGGTTACAGTGAGCTACGAACGAGTCACTGTACTCCTGCCTGGGCAACAAGTGAGACCCTGTTTCAGTGGAAAACGAAACAAAACAAAGACTAAGTTCAATAAAGCTTGAACTTAGAAAATCAAACCTGTACTTACACACACACATATAAGTATGTGGTTTTTTTTCATAGCTCTTCCGTAGGACACATATGTATCTTTTACCTACTTTTACACATTGATTCTAATTCTTCAATTGCTTGTTTAGCCTCCTGAATTTCTTGGTAAATGGCTGCAAGAGGTGCCAACTCAGCACGCCTTCTGTTCAAGGACCTTCGGTTCTCTTCATTCACGGAGAAATGCTGCAGACATTGCTCAAGTGTTTGGTACTCCTTATTCAGGTTCTCCATATATTTCTGTAGTGCTTTATGCTTCCAGAGCATCTTGGTGTCTTGATGACAATATCTCCTGGACCAATTCTTACTTAGCAGATGATGAAGAATGCAATTCCCGTTTTGTCTAGAAACCTGCATCCTTGTATCAAAATGTATCTGTCTAAATTGATGAGAATGGAGCTGGATGTGACAGTGGAGGTAACCATTAAGAGATGGACGTCTAAAAAGCCAAACACACAGGTGTCGATTCATCTCAGCATCTGAAATACAACAAACACAGACTTTTAAAAAATCAGCTGTAAAAATACATACATAATAACGCTGGAAGGAACATCAAAAAATCTTGTTTCATTTACTGTCTCAGCCAACTCCAAACAGTCGTAAAATCCAACTACCTACAAAAAGAAAATAATTCTTCAAATGTATGAATAATGTATTAAAATAAATAAAAACACATCCTGGCCAACATGGTGAAACTCTGTCTCTGCTCAAAATACAAAAATTAGCTGAGTGTGGTGGGATGTGCTTGTAATCCCAGCTACTTGGGAGGCTGAGGCAGAAGAATCCCTTGAACCTGGGAGGTGGAGATTGCAGTGAGCTGAGATTGCGGCACTGCACTCCAGCCTGGCGACACAGTGAGACTCTGCCTCAAAAAAATAATAATAATAAATAATAAAAAATAAATAAAAATAAAAACAGCACTGCTTCCTACCTGCTCAACATATGGAATTAACTAAAAGCATATGAGAAGTACAACTAACAAATACATCAACCGAATGAATTAAATCAGTTATTTTCTAGAAAGTATCCAGAATCTAGAATTGAGTGTATAAACAAGCTCTTGGCAGCAATGAAAACATACAAACTTAAGGTGGCTCAAGAGTCACTTTCTAAAGTTTGGAGAAAATATTATTATTATCTTGTATAATTCTTTAATTTTAAGGATCTAGATGTCCAAGGAAGTCAAGTAACTTAATCTATTTAGTCGGCTGGATAGAGACAGAGCTGGTATTAGAATATAAGCTGTCTCTTCAGGACTCAGTACTTTTCAAAAGTGCTTCCCTTTCAGTTGAGATCCTAAAGGAAGAACAGTTCAAGTATTAACAGACCAAGAAAGTAGGGCTGGTGAAAAGCAGACAGTGGCAACAATTATATTAAGTGAAAAAAGCAAGGGACAAAGTAGAATCTCAATTATATTTAAAAACTATTCTACAAAATGTGGAATACATGTTACAAAAAAAGCACATAGAGTATTTTTTATAAAGAAAGTTAAATAAGAAACATACCAAAATGTGCCGGGCGCAGTGGCTCACACCTGTAATCCTAGCACTTTAGGAGGCCAAGGCAGGTGGATCATCTGAGGTCAGGAGTTCAAGACCAGCCTGGCAACATGGGAAAATCCTGTCCCTAATAAAAATACCAAAAAAAAATTAGCCAGGCTTGATGGCACGTGACTGTGGTCCCAGCTCCTTGGGAAGCTGAGGCAGGAGAATTGCTTGATCCTGGGAGGTGGAGGTTGCAGTGAGCCAAGATCGCACCACTGCACTCCAGCATAGGTGACAAAGCAAGACTCCATCTCCAAAAAAAAAGAAACATACTGCCGGGCGCAGTGGCTCACGCCTGTAATCCTAACACTTTGGGAGGCCGAGGTGGGTGGATCACCTGAGGTCAGGAGTTCAAGACCAGCCTGTCCAACATGGTGAAACCCCATCTTTAAAAATAATAATTTAAAAAGAAACATACCAAAATGTTAATAAAATGATTTATAGTTGTGAGATTATGAATACATTTTGCTTGCAATTTTTTCTACTTTTCAGTGTTTTCCAAGTCTCCTGCACATATAGCATGGATTACATTCATAATCAGGAAAAAAAAGGTTAGTTTAAAAAATTACAGGTTATGTGAAATTGGCTGTGTACAATAATTATCTGTTCTCCTCCCCTCCAACAGAGATAATCAAGAGCTAACAAAAGTACACAATGGTCTTACTAAGAAAGAGAAAATATAGTGTTCCAAGAAAAACACTTTGCTCCTAAAACCCCGAGGTTCAAAGTTGAAATCAGGGTCAAGCCACGCACAGTAGTATACACCTATTGTCCCGGCTACCCAGGAGACTGAGGCAGGAGGATCTCTTGAGCCCAGGAGTTCAAGGCCAGCCTGAGCAACATAGTGAGACTCCAACTCAAAAAAAGAATGGTCAAAATTTATCAAAATCAACCTGTACTGTCTCCAGTGATCCTACTATGCTAGGAGGTGCATTGGTACATTAGGTCATTTGATCACTGTAAGTCTGTTAACTTAGCATTATCACCTAGGAAATAAAATATTCAGAATGGTCTTTAAAATATTCAAAGTTTCCAGGGTTCTACTGATAGATTTTAGGATACTGCATCACATTATTAAAAGAAATGTGGAAGAAAGCACCAATGGCCAGCTGTCACAAACGTTACACTCCATCGCCCCAATGTTTCAAGCGTGTTAGAGAAAGTGTGTCCACTTGCTAACAGGCAGAATAAAGACTAATAAATACATGTCTCTAATGCTTATTGCTAAAATTTCCATTTTAGGAACAATAGTAGAATGAATAACTTTCAAGGTCATGAATCTTAACATTAAAGAAGAAAAAAAAAAAAAACCCAAGATGTTTACTCTCCAAGATTAACTACACCTGAGAACAGCACGGCTTCGTCATTACCGATCACAGTATTACTCTGATGCTTTAGGGAACGTTCTGAGCGTCGGCAGGTCAGAAGTGACAGCCCGCGGGGCACCAGCACGGGCAAACGATGCTGTGTAACTCAGTATATGGAGTGATTCCATAAAGAGGCAATATGGGAGGCGGCGGGGAAGATCAGGAAAGAACTGTGAGTACCTAAGAAAAAGAAGAATGGAAGTTAGCTCTCTTTACTGAGGCCGGAGCCTTCCGAGACCCACCGCATTTCAGCCCGACAAACCCGAGAGCACGTTCACTTCCTGGTTCACTTCTTCCGGGTTAACACATGCTCCCAGCCCCTCCTCTGCCACTACCCTTCTCCGGAGGAGTAGTCCTCGAGCATGCGTTAACAATGGACTAAAAAGACATAACTGAACTAAATGAGAAAAATGAAAAAAGCGAGAATGAAACTGTCATGAGAATACCGGCCTCGCGCCACACTTATCCAGATTGCGACCCCAGAGCGTGGGTGCAGATGGTGGGAGGGGTCAAGGCGGGAATAAACTACAACTTTCAGGAGCGACCACCAAAGAATCCTGGGAGTCGTAGTTTACCTTGCGGCAGCCTCGAACCCCCTATCCAGCCAAAGGTGGAGCTTTTGGTTTTCACAGCTAACTGCAAACCTAGGAGAGAGATTCTCTACGATTCTGATTAAGCGATCAAGACTTACAACATATTGCATGTGAAATTACAATTATAATGTAATTATACTGCTGTCTGATTTTAAAAAAATGAAAACTTTTTTTCATCATCCAAAAATTTAGAAGATTCTGGATGTAGTTTCTATACTTTCAGCTTCTATTGCTTCAGAAAATACCTAATGACTAAAGAAGAGTATAATTTTTTTTTTTTTTTTTTTTTGGGACAGAGCCTTTGCTCTGTTGCCAGCTGGAGTGCAGTGGCACGATCTCGGCTCACTGCTGCCTCCACCTCCCGGGTTCAAGCGATTCTCCTGCCTCAGCCTCCGGAGTAGCTGGGACTACAGGCGTGTGCCACCACG